TGTTTTGTTTGATGAAAAATTAGCTTGCCCTTATTCATACATGGTATCGGAGTGGGATAAAGTCAAAATATTAAAAGCACAAAGAATACAATCACATTTGCAGAGATAAAAGGAGGAAATAATGTCATAATGCAGGAACAGCAGCTGAGCAATCAGAACAAGGCTCAGGTAATTAAGTCACTCTAGAGGCCAGGTGGAATAAATAGGTTTTCACCTGTTGCCAAGAACTCAAAAGAGCAGGTACCAATTTGCAGTCAAAGGAGAGGGCATCCCATCATTGGGACACTACTGCAGAGCAAACCCTCTCTGGTTGTCCCATTCTAAAGCAGAGTACACGTCTTGCATTTTGCCTGAAAGATTGAACCCTGGTGAAGATTCCAGACTCTGTTAATAGAATCATAGAATGGTAGAACTGGAAGAAACCACTAAGTCATTCAGTCCAACCCCCTGCAATGCAGGAATTGTTTGCCCAACATCAGGATCAAACCCACAACCCTGAGATTAAAAATCTAATACTCCAACTACCGTATTTTTCACTCTATAAGACGCACCAGACCATAAGACGCACCTAGTTTTTGGAGGAGGAAAACAAGAAAAAAGGTATTCTGAATCCCAGAAGCCAGAACAGCAAGAGGGATCGCTGCGCAGCCATCCCTCTTGCTGTTCTGGCTTCTGGGATAGCTGCACAGCATGCATTCGCTCCATAAGCCACACACACATTTCCCCTTACTTTTTAGGAGGGAAAAAGTGAGTCTTATAGAGCAAAAAATACGGTATACTGAGGTATGGTCAGACTGAAGCCTTTGTCCCTAACGTTGTGTCCCTGAGCCCCCAATCCTTCTCACATATTATTAGGGCTTTTTTCCCCTGGCCGGAACGTGCCGGAACTCAACTCAGTTCCAGCACCTCTCAGGTGGGCGCCATTGCCATTCTAAGAGAACAAGGGAGAAGTTCGTGGTGAATTCTGGCACCTCTTTTTCCTAGAAAAAAAATAGCACTACATATTATGTTCAACTTTAGATCATGCTCATCATTACAAGACCTTCGTCCCCCTCACTTGTGAATAATATTTTTCTGGTAAAAGTGGATTAATTTTTTTCCAAGGCAGCTCTCCTCCCTCCACAACTGGTCTCCTTAGGTCCAGAATTATCATATTTAAAAGGTATGGAGTAGAGTTAGGAAACACAGGGAGGCAGTGAAGAAGCTGCAACAGAAACTCTTACTTCTTATAAAATTGATGGAGTCCTACCTAGGAGGTCTGCAGATGGGTGGGTGGGGTGTAATTATTCCTTCTTGCCCTTTCTATTTTTCACTGCATCTCTCCACTGACCTCCATCTAAATTCACATTGGTATGTGCCATTTTCTTCTATAATCAGGTTTAATATTGAAGAGGGAGATGGGGGTGGGGGCAGTTAAATCCAGCAGAGGACAAAACACACAGGCAAAACCAGACTGCACTTTGTCTTGCAGTTAATGTGGAAGTTGCTAGGCTGTGTGAAATACACAAAATCACAGTGGGAGTCTGAGCATACATCTCTGTGTGTGTCGCTTTGAAAAAGGTCACTGCTATTCTTCTGGCAAACATGAAACGTTCAGAGTACATAAACATCACATGCGTAAGTTACAAAAGGCTTATTCACTGGGAAAACGGCTCAGAGATAATCCCTCTGAACGAGATCTGCTTCACAACTTTATTTGAGAATATATTGCCACAGGCTTTTACAGGCCTATATGGGACCGTGGAAGTGGCCTGAAAATATAAAAACCAGGAGAACAAATAAAAATCTGGTGCTCTTCAGTGTTGCTTTGCAAACTTCTTACTTTCAGAGCATCCCTTCTGCATGTAAAAATTGCTATGTATCTGCCACAGAATCTCAGTGTATTGGAGAGGTTTCTGGGCAATCCTGAAGGGTGTCCATCATCATCCCTCTTCAATGGTGAATTAGCCAGGCCAGGAGAATAAGGCATCTTACAAAGGATTATCTGGCTGTTACTGATATTTTTCATTGAGGAGGTCCAGTTTCACTAAATAATAATTACCATACTTTTCCGTGTATAACACACGCCCCCTATTTTGGGGGACTAAAAATAAAGAAAATAAAAAAAATGGGGGGAGATTGCACAGAGTTTTTGAAGGGTTTTTTTGTTTTGTTTTTTTGCAATAGCCACTCACCCACCTGGCCGACGCTGACACTCGTGTGCGTCGCAACAGCCTCCTAACGTCTATCACCTATTGCCCGCCCAATTGCCACAGCAACATCCAATCAACACCACCCCTTGCCACAGACGCCAATAAGATGCTACAGACCATCTCCGGCTTGCGGCATCAACCAATCCCACATCCCGTCCCCCCCAGAACTACCCATGTATAAGAGGACCCCCGATTTTAAACAATTTTTTCAGTAAAAAAAAACCTAGTCTTATACACAGAAAAGTACGGTATATGTTGCATTTGTATAGCACCTTCAAGTGTTGAAAATGTTTCAGAACCGTTATCTAGTTGTAATCCCGAAAGCAACTCTGCAAGGCAATTCAGTATTATTCCTCATAGTACAAATAGAGAAGCTGAACAGGCTTGCTTAAGGTCTCCTCGTGAGTTAATGGCAGAAGTGACAACTGGAACTTCCCAATCCATAGCTGAGTCTTTTAGCCACACTATACTAGGGCGCAATCCCCAAACCCTGAACCAGCAATGCTAAACTAGTTTTGTTTCATTTGCACTGATTAAATTGTCAACCTTAGTGTATTTAATAGGGACACTGTACTGTTTGATTTAACAAATTTCTCCTTCAGGCAAAAATAAAAATAAAATTCTGAACATTATTCTTTTTCAGTTACATGTGTTTCTAAAGTCTTTAAGCTTTTGGAGCTAACTGAAAATTAAATAAAAGCTGTCATGCATTATTAGAAGAAGAAGAAACGCGAGCCTTTTCATTTTCAATGCCCTCTTAATGTTAACAAATCAAAACAGCCTAAGAAAAAGCATATTGTGAACTCACAAAGCCCCATCAATAAAAATGTGCCCCCTTTAAAACGGAGCCTACTAATCTAATACACTAATGCTTTAATAAATTAATCTAGCAATTAAAGTTTGCAGCCCCAAGAAAAAAGAGGATGGGGAGAGAGCAGGTTGTGGACTTGATTCCCCCTCCCCTGCCACTGTCCCTCATTTCCATTTTAGATAAAAATAGCAGGAAATTGTGATGGCAGCAAAAACAGGCCTAGCCTACACATGCAGTGCACTGAGGACATAGAATTCCAAGGTGGTTCAACAGATCATAAAGGTAAAGGTAAAGATAGCCCTGACCATTAGGTCCACTCATGGACGACTCTGGGGTTGCAGCGCTCATCTTGCTCTATAGGCCGAGGGAGCAGGCGTTTGTCCGCAGACAGCTTCCAGGTCATGTGGCCAGCATGACTAAGCCACTTCTGGCGAAACCAGAGCAGCGCATGGAAACACCGTTTACCTTTCCGCTGGAGCGGTCCCTATTTATCTACTTGCACCCGGGGGTGCTTTCGAACTGCTTGGTTGGCAGGAGCTGGGACCGAACAATGGGAGCTCACCCGTTGTGGGGATTTGAACCGCCAACCTTCTGATCGGCAAGCCCTCGTCCCTCAACAGATCATAACAGTGCTCAAATTGAAAGGTGTTTCTATGCACAAGGCCCATTCCTCTGACTCATCCCCCCATGGTTCTATTAAATCATGCCCTCCAAGAATGACAGCTAGTCGAGGGGGGCCATGCCTTTTGTATCTTTTCTGCAATTTGAACACTGAAATGTACAATGGACAACATTATTGGAGGATTTTATTTTTATTCTTTAAAAAATGCTTTTGGGTGGGTGGTGGGAATTTCCATGCAAATAGAGGACTAGCCCTGTAGAGAGCGGGCTAGGTTTACACTTAATCTCCCCCATCTCCCCAAACTGGCATGCTCTGCTTTACTTGCAGAGCGGGTGATCAATAAAAATTGCTTCCCTCAAATTAAATTTTCTGCAGATTAATCTTGTTTTCTACGTGCAGCAGGCTTCGCTTTTGTTTTCGGGATGGAGAACAGCTCACGCAAAACCACACCTGCACTCTGAAGTACTGAAGCTTCAACAGAGACAGAGTGCCTTAGTGAATTTATGGCTCAAGCGATAGGTGACGTTAATCGCGTGCACTCCCCCCCCCCCCCATATTTCCCTTTTTTAGCTAATGCAGCTGTTTGGGCTGCAATCTTGAAAAGAAGACCAGCAATTTTGGGGGGTTGGGGGAGAAACACACACAGAGAGGGGGGGAGAGAGAGGGAGGGAGGGAGGGAGAAAGCATGCAACAGGCACTTTAACCACTTCATTTGGTGCTTTTCTTTCTCCAGAATTACCCCTCCATGTATAACCTTTTCTCTTTTCCTCCCACTATCATCCAGCCTAAGAACAGCCCCACAGTGATCTGGAAGCTGAAAACCAGAATAAAATATTAAAATGACCATCTCAGCTCCCCTGATGTGGTCTCCCACTAGAGGTTGCAGCTTTTTGAGTGTTACGCTTCCAATTTGAGTGCCACACTTGTTTTGAATGTTATGCTGAGGTCTGTTTGTTTTTGCTGTTTATTTTGCGTTTTCACGGTTCTTTTTTGTTTTGTTTTTGTGACTGTGTGGAACCCAGTTCAGCTACTGATTGATTGTGTGACTGCAGTACGTTGTTTATTGCTTTCATTTTATGGATCAGTGGTCTTGTTAGATAGTAAAACTCATGTTAAATTGCTGTTTTAGGGGTTGTTTTTAAAAGTCTGGAATGGATTAATCCATTTCAAATTACTTCCTATGGGAAAGCGAGCCTTGGTTTTGGAACGCCTTGGTTTTGGAACGGACTTCCAGAATGGATTAAGTTTGAGAACCAAGGTACTTTTCCACACAAACACCCCCCCCCCCCCCAATGCTGCAGCCCCAAGTGTCAGGAAACATTTTTGTTTTGTTTTTGCACAATACATAGTATGAGAACTTGTAAGCAAAACAGACTTGCCACACAAAAAGATACATTTTATTTCAATTCTCTCTCTAAATACAGTTTGGCAGGATCAGTTTTTCACAGGAGCAAATGTATTAAAAAATATTTCATTCCAAAATACTATTCTCTGAGGTAATATTATAGGCACTTTCGAGTAGACATAGTTAGGATTCTGTTGCAAGGCACATATATCTGCCCCCTTTTAAAAAATAAAAATCTTTGATCACTGATCTCCGTCTAAAAATTCTAAGGAAAAAGTAATTATGTAACTGAAACCCAAATCTTTTTAAAAAAAATAATATTAAAAATAAACCATATAAATCAAAATGTCAGTACTGACAAAGAAAAAAACAGACGTGTATTTGAGGTACCGTATTTTTCCGTGTATAAGACTTGGTTTTCCCCCTAAAAAATAATGTCAAAAATTAGGCGGAGTCTTATACATGGGGCCATCTCCCCCCATTGTCTTAAATCTAAGTCCCCCAAAATAGGGGGCACCTTATACATGGGGGCATCTTATAGACGGAAAAATATGGTAATTTAATGGGCAATTCTAGCCTGGTGTCCTCTGCTTAAGTCAATGAGCTTTCTTACCAAATGATTCTATGGGCTATTCTTTGGGTTTCAAAAAGTAACAGGATGTAGGATCAAGTTTTCCTTTTGGGGAATGAAGGCCTAACTCATAGGCACCCCAAATCAGTGCAATTTACTTGTTGTATTCACTGGTGCATGGGTTTTAAGGGAACCCAAACCTTTGAAAGTTTGGAACATGGATACCTCAGAAAAGGAAAATGCCAACATGATCTAAGCCAATATGGGGGTTCACAGTGCCACCAAAAGGAGTAAATGTCCTTCTGCAAATTTATGGTGAATTGATTCTTTGAAAAAAGACATGTTCCACGCTAATCTAGATGCACTTCTTACGAAATACATCTCACTTTAATCACTAGGATTTTCATTCCAAGTAAACGAAGTTAAAAATTGGTGCAGTTATTCCTACAAAACGTCATATATTCAGGAAGTTATAGATTGAGAGTATTTTAAACAAGAGCAAGGATTAGTTATCTTGAAACAGCAAGGTAACTGAATATTTATTGAAAGTTCAACGCGACACCATAAACCGTCACAGTTTGGCATTAAACTGACCCATCAGTCTTTCCAACTTGATTGCTAAGGCCATGTCACCCTTAATTGCCAGCTTCCCAGACATGAAAGCCAGGGTTGGCTTTAGTTTGCCTGAAAAGAGAAAAAAAAATGGTTTAAGGCACCACAAAAAGTTGCAAACTGCAGTGCTTCTGTCATGTTTTTCATTTAAGCAACCTCTCTACTTTAAGACCAACAATGACATGGGTAGCTTTAAATGTGATGTTGCCACCTCCTGTTTTCATAAAAAAAGGACGGCATTACAGGTAACTTATTTAAGGCATGACCGATATGTTTGCAATTGTGCACAGCGCTGAACCCGGAAGTGACCCAGAAACGTCATAACGACGTCACTGAAACGTTTTAATAAAGTTTTGTTTTTTAAAAAGGACTATACTGAAATGGCAAAGTTAACAGCTAAAACAAGAGAACCTAACGATGACTGGTTTGTGGAGGAATGGAAGCCTTTCTCGGACTACTTAAGGAAATGGTACTGTACGATGAATTCACGAGCCGGATTTGAATTATGAGCAACAGAAGAAATGAGAGAATATATTATTGTTGTTATGGTATAAGTGATAGAAGGTAGGGTGCAACAGAAGGAGAGGAATAAAACCACCATGGAAAATGAGGTGGGGAGTGAAACAAAAAGAGAGAGAGAGAGAATTATTATATATGTTAAACAGCAGAAAACTTAATAAAAATAATTATTTTTTAAGAAAGACATCACTGAAATGTCACTAAGAGGACGGAATGGGGGCGGGGTGGAACAGAACTTTTTCAATGGGTTTCCGATTTCACGCAAGTGCACAATGACCCGGAACGTAACCCCCGTGCAAACAGGAAGTTGCCTGTATTATCATTCCAGGTGAGTAACTATAGGGTCACATGTGTGGTGAGGAAGCAAGATCATGCCTGTATGACAGTCACACATTGTCCAACAGGCCCCCCCAATAAGAGGCTCTGCACCCCACCCCCCAAAATCGGGGCTTTCCTGCTTTAACTTGAACCCCCCACTGCCAGTTTTTAAGTAGATCGAGTAGATCGCAGTCTTGCCGCTTTCTGTGCCGCATAGACCTCCCCACACCTCATGGATTCTTGTGCACTTTTACATGTGAGGAAGCTCCTGTCAGCTCAGTGAAACTTAGTAAACATGCATTTGATTAAATTGCACCAGCCCTGATGATCTGCATCATCCTACCACTTGCTAACTTTACATGGGGGGAGCAGGTTTGTTGTAAAATGGTGGTGGTGAAATGGTGAAGGACTTGTTGGCATCCCAAATGTGGAATATTTCCACCAACACTCTTCTCTGCTAGCTCACTTCTAACACTTCCCGTAAATGGCATCCTATCTACAAGCAGAAAAGAAGGTCCTGGACGTATAGGAGACTTTGCTAGCAGTTTCTTCTCAAAGGGTAGAATAAAGAAACTGGAATGAAATACATAATTCTACACGCTCCTGAAAATTTATCAAATGCAAGCAGCTCTACGAGCAGACACATTTAAGATTAGCAAAAGTCCAATGGAATAGCTGAGCATGAATACATTTGACTAAATGAAAGGACAGTTGTTCCCAATACCTACCTGAAAACATTTTTACGAAGTCAGTGCTGGACATGCTCATAACCACATCAACTTTTCCTGGTGGTTCTCCGCTTCCTACACTGCCACCTTTGTTCTTAAGATCAATATACCATGTTCCTCCTCCTTCACCTAACACAAGAGTAATGCCAAAATTATGCCACGTAAAATTAGATACATTCATTTCTAAGCTGAACAAATGTCAGATAAGGAGCAACAGCCAATTAAGTCTTTCCAAGAGTTAATGATCCACTGAAATTAATAACTGGAAGTCCAGTGATTTCAGTGGGTCTTCCCAGAGTATGACTAATGTTGGATACCACCCTTTGAAGTTTAAAATCAGTTTCATTATAATCTTTTACAGTGGTATCTCCGGTTACGAACTTAATTCATTCCAGAGGTCCGTTCTTAACCCAAAACCATTCTTAACCTGAGGCGCACTTTCGCTAATGGGGCCTCCTGCTGCCGCTGCGCCGCCAGCACGCAACTTCCACTCGCATCCCAGGGCAAAGTTCGCTACCAGGAGCATCTACTTCCGGGTTAACGGAGCTCGTTACCCTAAGCGTTCGTAAGGAGGACGGTATGTAACCCGAGGTTCCACTGTAATGACATTTCTTTCCCTTAATAATGGCACTATGCTCCCCTATAACTTCCACTGCCAACCCAGCTTATTCTAACCACTAGAGAAAGAGATTGACTGGTACCATCAAGAACAGTAGCACATCTGGTAGTAAACAAAACTTTTGTCCCATTCATCACAAATGACTTTCGCTCAATTTTGGTGTAATTGCTGTTTTGTTGTAACAACCACATCCCTGCTTTTTATGTAGATGCCCAACCTCTTCTCTGTGTGTCCATGTGAACATTCACAAATAAAACATACCCATGTGTGTGTGTTAAGTAGATTGCCATATTTGTCTTTTCAAAATATTTCAGACAGCACTGAGTGTGAATTATTTGAAAACTGCCACCACTATAAAGGTGTTTTGGCATCTTTTCTGCAAAGTACATGTGCTGGTACTATTGAATGCAGGCCTCTTGCCTTAGCCGTGATCCTAGGCCCGCCCAACATAATTTCAGTAACTCTTAAACAGATATAAAGATTCTTACCAGATAATTCAAACCGATAAATTCCTTGGGTTGACTTTACAACTTCGTCACTGATCGCAGCTTTTATAATTTTAAAAGTTTCTGCTACAGGCCCCCCTGATTTTTCAGCAGCAAAATGCACGTGAAGCTTTCCTCTGTCAGGACCTTCAGGTTTAGTTTTGTCAGGACCTTCATGCTTGGGAAGGTCTTGTTTTTTCCCTTCTCTGAAGGTTGGAGTAGCTCCTGTAGGACCAACATTGACCAACAGAGTCAACAGTTACAATAGTGTGCACTCAGGAACTCATACCAAACAAGGAGAAAAAGGTTGGCGGTCCTGAGCACTAAAGCAGGGAAAATACTGGAGCAAGGAGTCATAGCTCGGGGGTAGGGGACATGTTTTTTATGCAGGTCTCACGTTCAATCCACAGCAAAAATGACCAATCAGTGAGCCTTTCCCTTGGAGCCTTTCCCAGTGAGCCAGACTGGTGACTGGGAGCGGCCGCCGAGACCATATAACACCAATCTTGAAAGATCTACATTGGCTCCCAGTACGTTTCCAAGCACAATTCAAAGTGTTGGTGCTGACCTTTAAAGCCCTAAACGGCCTCAGTCCAGTATATCTGAAGGAGCGTCTCCACCTCCATCGTTCTACCCGGACACTGAGGTCCAGCACCGAGGGCCTTCTGGCGGTTCCCTCACTGCGAGAAGCCAAGTTACAGGGAACTAGCCAGAGGGCCTTCTCGGTAGTGGCACCTTCCCTGTGGAACGCCCTCCCACCAGATGTCAAAGAGAACAACAACTACCAGACTTTTAGAAGACATCTGAAGGCAGCCCTGTTTAGGGAAGCTTTTAGTGTTTGATGTATTGCAGTATTTTAATATTTTTTTGGAAGCCGCCCAGAGTGGCTGGGGAAGCCCAGCCAGATGGCCGGAGTATAAATAATAAATTATTATTATTATTATTATCATTATCACTACTATTATTATGTTTGAATGTGATGGAATTCAAGAGAAGAGACATTTAACATTCACCAGGTGCTATACCAGCTTCACTGGCTCTTGATGGAGTACAGGATCAGGTTCAAGGTGCTGGTTTTAACCTTTAAAGCCCTATACGGCCTAGGACCCTCGTATCTACGGGACCGCCTCTCCTGGTATGTCCCACGGAGGACCTTACAGTCTTCAAATAAAAACACCTTGGAGATCCCAGGCCATGGCCCCAATTTGGTGGAATGCTCTGTCACAAGAGACTAGGGCCCTGTGGGACTTAACATCTTTCCACAGGGCCTGCAAGACAGAACTGTTCCACCAGGCCTTTGGCTGAAGCACAGTCTGACCTCCTCCTTTTGTAAGCCTCACAGAACTCTAGCCCAATGGTTTCCATTAATTTGACTCTGAATAGATTTTAGAATGTATTTCAATTAAATGATTATGATTTTATGTAAACTGTGTTATTTTTTTACTGTTGTTAGCCGCTCTGAGCCTGGCTTCGGCTGGGGAGGGTGGGATATAAATAAAATTTTATTATTTATTATTATTATTATATTTCCATAATCACAGAGAATGTTAGATAAGTAAGTTTGGAAATGTCTAGTTAAATATGACCTCCCAGCCTCTTTGTAGGGCTGTCATGTGCCTTGGAATTAAAACAAACAAACAGAAAAGTCTACTGGGGAAGGGGAACATTTGCAAACTTGAAATGAAAGAAAACTGTTATAAAAGTATGGATTTTTTAAAATTGGCATCTGTATTTTTTATGTAGAGCTGTTGCTGCAATTCTCGTTACACAATATGAGTGAAATATACAACATCTGTGATTCGTGAAGCCCTGTCAATTAACAATGGGCACTTCTGTTCTATTTGCTTGGCACAGAAAGGTCTGCAGCCAGGAAAACTGTTCAGGTGGAGTGTAAGAGGCTAAGTTCTGACCTCTGATTTTAGGCCCAACAACATCTGGGTGGGGTGGAAGGAATTACGTGCTTACCTTGTGCTTCCATTTTCATTGCTAGTGTTTCGGGATCCACATCTAAAAAGAAGTCTGGTAGCAAAGGATGACCTAAAAATAGAGTGAAACAATAAATGAAAAAGTCCATGTTTTGTATAGCATAATAACGCTATGCAGTTAAATAGATGTAAATGAGAGACATCTCCACATCTTAGCTATTGATGTTTCCTAGCACAACTGAAGCACAAACATGAAGACAGACTTAGGACTTTACATTATACATAAGACACCAGAGTACACTTATTGGGTCATAAATGGGACACCTGGGAAGACACTCATGGTATTGCAAGCACAAAATACATGGTTTACGGCTATATATTTGTAAACCGGCAAATACGAACGCAATATGCAAGAAAATAAATCTAGATTACCTGGGGCAACCGCATATACATCAAAATTCTGAATTCCTTCTTCTCTCAATAAAGTTTCATCAATGACGAAGTTTCCGGTGAAAGTTTTGGGCTTTGTTAAAATGCAGTATGCGGCATCTGCAAGTATATCTGTTTTCCTGCACTGTTTCTCTACACCAGCTCCTCCCAGCATATCCATTGCAGAGGTATATATAGCTATAGACACACACACAGGAGAGAAGGGATAAGTTAGCAGTTATTTTACTGCAGAATGCAAGGGGTGAACTAGATGGCCTATATGGACCCTTCCAAGTGTATGGTTCTAGACCAGGGGTTGGTAACCAAAGGCCCATGGGCCGGAAGAGGCCCACGGAGGCCGTTTAACCGGCCCACAAGCCACCCCCAAACCGAGCCACCCACTGATCTATAGCACTGTCTACCAACAGCCTTTAGATCAGGGGTCAGCAAACTTTTTCAGCAGGGGGCCGGTCCACTGTCCCTCAGACTTTGTGGGGGGCCGGACTATATTTTGAAGAAAAAAATATGAACGAATTCCTATGCCCCACAAATAACCCAGAGATGCATTTTAAATAAAAGGACACATTCTACTCATGTAAAAACATGCTGATTCCCAGACTGTCCACAGGTCGAAGGCGATTGGGCCGGATCTGGCCTCCGGGCCTTAGCTTGCCTACCCATGCTTTAGATATCTGAGGTGGTGGAAGGATCGGTAAAGATTTAAAGTTTATAAAATCTTGAAGTCTAGCCATTGCAGCTAATGGGCCAGAAATGTTTAATATTCCATGGAATCGTCACATTCTCTCTCTCTGACCTTGTTCACACATAATGCTAAGCCAAACAACTACTTAACAAGAACCAGCAGGTGTTCAGGTACAGAGAGCCAATATTGTGGTTGCTTCACTCCTCCTCTGATACGGCTGCTAGTGGCACTACCTGGAGCCAAGCCATGTGCAAATGCAGACACATGGCAGGCACTATTTTCACTCAAAACCTTGGGACACGAGTGGCGCTGTGGGTTAAACCACAGAGCCTAGGACTTGCCGATCAGAAGGTCGGCGGTTCAAATCCCTGCGACGGGATGAGCTCCCATTGCTTGGTCCCTGCTCCTGCCAACCTAGCAGTTCGAAAGAACGTCAAAGTGCAAGTAGATAAAATAGGTACCGCTCCGGCGGTAAGGTAAACGGCATTTCCGTGCACTGCTCTGGTTAGTCATGCTGGCCACATGACCCGGAAGCTGTACGCCAGCTCTTTCGGCCAATAAAGCGAGATGAGCACCGCAACCCCAGAGTCATTCAGGACTGGACCTAATGGTCAGGGGTCCCTTTACCTTTACCTTTTTACTCAAAAGCTTACAGTGCTTGTTCTCACTAAGCCATAGTTTGGTTCAGCATTAGGCGTGAATCAGCACACACAGCCCGTTCTCTTTACATATGTATTAACTGGGCTGCAGATTAGGTTTTCATGGTATGAGCAAACTGAAACTATGCAGCAAAATATGAATTTCTGAGAATATCAAGTATAAAAACTATCCCCACACCACCCATAGCAGACTTCTGTCTGAATTTACATAAGAATTATGCAAGCGCTCTCTGCTGAACACAGGGACATTATATTCACACAAAAATGTCACCCCAGGGAAATTATAAGGAAAGGTAATCTTCCTGTGACTGCTTTGGTCCCTCACCACCTCATCCTGATGGCAGATGTGTAAATTTCCCCAGTTAAGTGTTAAAATAACGGGCTAGTTAAGAGTAGTAACACAAACTCAGATCTGCTCTTCTGGTTCTGTAATAATACAACTTCTTAGGTTTTTCACAATATAGTTAACAAAATTAGATTCAGATATGATGGAGTGGTAAAGTACATCTGTTAAGCAAAAAAGATGAACTCCTTACCAAATGGGTATACTGTGCATATAGGGGACGCAGATGGCGCTGTGGTCTAAACCACTGAGCCTCTTGGGTATGCCGAGAGGTCGGCGGTTCAAATCCCCGCAACGGAGTGAGCTCCCGTTGCTCTGTCCCAGCTCCTGCCAACCTAGCAGTTTGAAAGCACACCAGTGCAAGTAGATAAACAGGTACCGCTGTGGCGGGAAGGTAAACGGCATTTCTGTGCGCTCTGGTTTCCATCACGGTGTTCCGCTGCGCCAGAATCAGTTTAGTTCTGCTGGCCACATGACCTGGAAAGCTGTCTGTAGACAAAACACTGGCTCCCTTGGCCTAAAGCGAGATGAGCGCCGCAACCCCATAGTTGCCTTTGACTGGACTTAACCATCCAGGGGTCCTTTACCTTTTTACCTTTTACTGTGCATATACTGTTAACCTAAGGCTTTGGTCCTATATGCACTTACTTGAGAGTAGTGTTAGTATTGTATTGTCTCATTCTCACATTGCATAATGTTGTGGGTTGCCTTTAATTACTTAATTGATGTATGAGTATGGGAACTATTTAAAAGTCTCCTCCCTCTCTCTGCTCAAGAAGATGGATGTGAGAGTCGTCTTGTTGTTTTGTTATTTGCTTTATAAATAAAACCTTTGATGTTACTATTCCAACCACAGTTGTCTGGCTGCATTCTGCTGTAAAGCACCGAGTTTACTATCTGCAAACAGGCGTTTAATGCTCACAAGTAGGTTCCACTGGAGTCGATGGAATATGTTCCCAAGTAAACAGGCATAGAATTGGGTTGCATCTCAAATAAATAACTATTTTGAAAAAGGTTAATTTCAGTGCGTCAGCTTTCCAGTATCAGATGAGAGCAGATCAAGCCAGAACAGCGGTTCTCAAACTTTTTAACCCCAGAACCCAGCTGGGAGGGTTGAAAATTACTAAGTCCCACCTGTCACAAAATGGCGGTGCAGGGGCAGACTCACTGTTGGAAAAACACTGTCAAAAACAATGTAAATGATAATAACAATAACAATAATAGTAATAATACATATGCTTCAGAAGTCTCGAATATTGAAGGGAAACTGTGTATACACTTTAGACAAATGCAAGACATCATATTCTCTGAACACATTGAAACAAGAATTAAGCTCAGTCAACCCATCAAAAACATTATATATTTTTAAAAGATATATAAACCTGTTTGAGGCCATAATGCATTGACTGCAACTTCTCCTCTAAATTCTTCTGCCATTCCCAGCACACACATGGACATTCCATATTTAGAAATTGTGTAAGCTAGAATAAGATGGAAAACTAGATTTAGACATAAAAAAATGTTTCCTCCTATATGCAGTACGAATTGTTCATATTTCAGAGGAAAACTCTTATAGCTGGATAGAGGATTGCCAAGAAAGAGACAGGCATTTGGTTGGCTATTAGGGGAATCAGAATGCTGATGTAGAGCAAGGTTTCCATTATGTTCTTATCTAAATTACGGTTGTTTTTCCAAACAGTTTCACAATCTGAATGTTGTAAACAGATCAATTATCTCATAGTCCGACAATGCATTGTGTGAAAAGGACAATGGGACACCTTGCATCAAAGAACATCACGGAAACCCTGGTTTTGTAAGTGGTGTTAGAAGATTGTCGCTAATATCTGGGCTTGATGTACAACGAGGGAGAAGGGGCTGTAGCTTAGCAGAATATTGCATTTTTCGCATGCAGAAGGCTCTTATTTAAAAGAATCAGGCAGCAGGTTGTTATAAGAATTTTAAGGTCCCAAATACAGAATAAATATTCATAAATGCGCACATATCTAAATATATGAACCATGTGTCTGAAATAGTATGGGAGAGCAATCCTGGAGCCATTTTGACTCTTCCCGATGACCTCAAATATTCCTCTGAAGTAAGGGAGGCAAATGGAGAAAGCCTTCCCATTGACTTTTTGCTTGCAAATCCTGTCTTCAGGGCATTTTTGTGTATGAATAGGGTGAGCCTGTGACCTGGATTCTGGAACTAAAGTATTAACCATCACAAAAGAATGGCCAGACTGCCCAGGTAATGCAATCAGTGACCATTATCCTGGCAGACAGGATTTCTGCTGTAGGCTGCCTCCTCTGCTGTAGACCACCTCCTTCTGTGATGTATGTATGATGTTTCAGGGGGGTGGTCTTGGGCTACATGGTGGGCAATTTCAAAATTCTATATAAGGGCTTGCACACCGTTGTTCAGAGTTCTCCTCCCTCCTGTGTGTGGTGAGTGGGGACCCTGTTGCAACAGTTAATTTCCTTTAGTAAAGATCAGGAAACTAGCCAAGCCGCTTTGCTTCTCAATATACTGTGGTTGGCCTCTGTTTTCTTCTACCGATAGGGAAACCGTTTAAGGACTCTATACAGGCGTCGGAATACCCCATAAGGGAAAGGGAGCAGTTTTTTTCTTATAACGGTAGAAGAGAGAGATTATCTGCCCAAGACCTAAGGAAGCTGCCGCCAGTTAAAACTGACATTACTAGATGAAATGGACAAACAAGTCAGATAGCTTCCTTCGTCTCCCTCACCCCAACGAGTATCTCTTTCCTACCTTTGTATCTAATGCATCTCCTCTCCTCCTCCCCCCATCCCTTATCTCACATTTCGACCTCTTTTCATGTATTGATAGCAACAGCCCTCCTATAGTGAAGGAGCTGAGAAACTGCTTTCTGAAGTGGCTTAAATCAGATTAAAATTTAAAAATAAACACAGGAACCACTTGAGTGCCAAGGGCCACCGGTTCGCCATTCCTGTTGCACATGAGCACCTGATTGAGAAATAAAGCTTGCCCTTGACATCCAGCCATGACCTAGGAATTATTTCTGCGGAACGGCATGCAGTTAATGGGACGCACCTTCTGTGGCACTGCATGCCTTGTGTTTCTCCCTGGGTGGGGGGGACATGTTTCTCCAGCTCAGTCCAAAAAAGGAATGCAAGGTGTCACTATATTAGAACTGGACGCAGGTGGCGCTGTGGGTTAAACCACAGAGCCTAGGACTTGCCGATCAGAAGGTCGGCGGTTTGAATCCCTGCGACGGGGTGAGCACCCGTTGCTCAGTCCCTGCTTCTGCCAACCTAGCTGTTCGAAAGCACAAAGTGCAAGTAGATAAATAGGTACCGCTCTGGCGGGAAGGTAAAAGGCGTTTCCGTGTGCTGCTCTGGGTCGCCAGAAGCGGCTTAGTCATGCTGGCCACGACCTGGAAGCTGTGCGCTGGCTCCCTCAGCCAATAAAGCAAGATGAGCGCCGCAACCCCAGAGTCAGCCACGACTGGACCTAATGGTCAGGGGTCCCTTTACCTTTTTAAGGACTATTTGGGAATTAAGTAGAGAAGCTACTGATGTGAACACAAGGTGCAACAATTTAAAGAATATTTCCCCACAAACTTTCAGGATGCAAGTACAGTGTTACCTTGGTTCTCAAACACCTTGGCACTCAAACACCTTGGAACCCAAACACTGCAAACCCGGAAGTAAGCGTTCTGGTTTGCAAACCTTTTTCGGAAGCTGAACATGCTCCGTTTTGAGTGCCACACTTCCGTTTTGAGTGTTACGCTGAGGTCTGTCTGTTTTTGCTATTTATTTTGCGTTTCTGCAGCTTTCTTGTTTTGTTTTTGTGGCTGTGTGGAACCCAGTTCCGCTACTGATTGATTGTGTGACTGCAGTACATTGTTTATTGCTTTCATTTTATGGATCGATGGTCTCGTTGGATAGTAAAATTAATGTTAAATTGCTATTTTAGGGGTTGTTTTTAAAAGTCTGGAACGGGTTAATCCATTTTGCATTACTTTCTATGGGAAAGCACACCTTGGTTTTGGAATGCTTTGGTTTTGGAATGGACTTCCGGAACGGATTACGTTTGAGAACCAAGGTACCATTGTAGAGGAAAAGAAGGGGTAGAAGAGAGACAGCCTTTACACTTCCTTGAGTTTGGAAGAATTTCAATATAAATGAGCATTTAAAACTATACTTACCACAGTGATTTTTGAACCAGATAGGGTTTAGGTTAATCGGTGGGCTGATATTGAGGATATGGCCAATCTTACTCTTTTTCAAATAAGGGAGACATATTTTAGATCTGGAGAAGCAAATAAACACAAGGGAATAGAGTCAGATTTGCTTGTACTTATATCATGAGCTCTGGTCAGATTTTGGTTTTTGTTGTGTTTCTCTCTCTCTCTCTCTCTCTCTCTCTCTCACACACACACACACACACACACACACACACAACTGGCCCTTTTATATACAGTCTGGGACTTACAGAAGGCATAATTTTTTATTATGTTTCCATCCCACTTATGAATTAAATTAAATTAAATTAATAATAAATAAAACACCCAGAAGTCAATAACTATGAAGGTTATTAGTAAGAGAGTTTGGTGTGTTTAAACTCTCTGCTATTAAACCCGATGGGATTTCAAATGGGCATAACTTTGGGCTCAATAATTCTCTTTAGAAATAAGGTTTTAAAAAAAGTAATTTAAAAAAGGGGGGGAAGCGTCATACACATTTCTGAGCCATGTATCGAGATAAAGTATCTGTCTGCAACCCAGTTAATGGCTGGTAGTGTGAATCAACTTGAGGGAGACATTAAACAAGGGCTGGTCAGAGGCTTTTGACCCATTTTTGCAAAAAGAAACCCCAACAACTTTAAATGTGTTTATTTTCTTTAACAGGAAACAGGTACATGCCTTCTGTTTTGCAAGCAAAGGTCATATCAACTTTCGAAGGGGGAAAATCATAATTACACAACAAGAAAGAAAAATTGTAGAGAGAAAACCTAACCCATCAAATATTATTTTAACAAAAGTATTGAACTACTACATACGGTATGAATGACTAGCTAGTACTGAAGATGAAACACCAACCTTCAGTGCCTACTTGGTAAATTAGAAGGTAATATCTATAATATCTCTGGCTGCACCATGTCATTTGGTTCAATTTTACTCTAGGAGGCAATAAGTGGTTGCTGCCTTTCCAGTAACACCGTTTTAACTCCACCTACAATAGCTTAAGAGCTGTAAAATTATTTATCAGCGGTACAAGCCAGAACTTCCTGAGTCACTTCTTCACCAAGGTCTCCTTGTTTCTGGCCACTATCAAGTTACTCCCACTCTTGTCCTCATTTCTACAGCATCCAATATTAACAGCCAAACCAAAGACAGCCACTCAGTGGCTGGAATGGAGGGCAGCAGCCTCATTAACAGCAACAACTTTCTTTTTTCCAATACCCTTTGATTAGTTTGCAACCCTATCACCAGTGTACGAAATCCGACAATGCAACTCTATTTGGGTCCCAAAGTCCCTGTTTTGTCTGAAAACTTTTGTTGGCATGGTCTAGAAAGTTAGGGAAGAACATGTTTGCAGTTCCCACTGACCCACTACTGAAGTGACCCATCCTCTAAGAACCCATGCCAAAATTGGATCTCCAACTGTGATGTGGGTTTTTTGGACTACAACTCCCATAATCCCTAGCTAGCAAGACCAGTGGTCAGGGGTGATGGGAATTGTAGTCCAAAGACAGATGGAGGCCCGAGTTTGGGAATCCCTGCTCTAGGAGCTGGCAGGAAACTCTCTGGACCCACTAATGCTTGATCCTCCTTTCTGCTTCCTAAGACAAGGCAACACTATGCCACCTACCAACTGGCTAAGGAGAACACAAAGTTCTTGAGCACCAAGTGTAACACGGGAGAAAAGCACATTCACACACCTTTCCAAGATAATTCTCTTCCCTTTGTTCACCTGGAAATGGTCCTTCCATTACCACTCCACTCTCTTATGAGTCTTTGTTTACTAAGTTATTAGATCGGGTCTGTGTGTGGAAAATCGGTGGGATTTCAAAAATAGTCCTGCTGGCAGCTACTCTTTCTGATGAGCTTTTGGAACTCCTGATTGGGTCCCATCTCTACACCTCCTCCTCTTGTCCAGTAAAGCCTTGCTGTGGCTCAGAAAGGCCTGCTCATTCAACTTCCTTTTCAAGTTTTCCCCTACAACAGGTATGGCCAAACTTGGCCCTCCAGCTGTTTTGGGACTACAACTCCCATCATCCCTAGTTAACAGGACCAGTGGTCAGGGATGATGGGAACTGTAGTCCCAAAACAGCTGGAGGGCCAAGTTTGGCCATGCCTGCCCTACAATAAAGGACCCTTGCTATTGCCCCCTGCATTTCAGACAGAGTGTATGGAAACGGTATCATTTGTTCTTGCTCAGCTCTCAGTTTCTCTCCTGTGCCAACTTCGCAATCTCTCTCCACCCTTTATAAACACTGAATCATCACAACCCTCTCTCTTCTTACCCATCTCTATCCCTGCCTTCTATTGCTAGGCAGGCTTAGCGCTATGTGTGAACAGAGTCTGTACATACACAGGATACCTCAGAAGCTTTGAACTGATGGAGCACGTTTGCATGTAGGAATAAGGCAGACTTTCTTACTGTGGTTCGTCAGGAATGAGCAGTACAGTCGTACCTCGGAAGTGAAACGCCTTGCGAGTCGAACGTTTTGACTCCCAAACGTCGCAAACCCCGAAGTGAGTGTTCTGATTTGTGAATGCTCTTTGGAACCCGAACATCCAACATGAGTTCCACGGCTTCCAATTGGCTGCAGGGGCTTCCTGCAGCCAATCAGAAGCCACGCCTTGGTTTCTGAACATTTGGGAAGTCGAACGGGCTTCCAGAACGAATTCTGTCTGACTTCTGAGGTACGACTGTATGTGAGTGACATGCTGTCTGATTGCTCCAGCTTCACTCTTCCCTTGGTGAGAACAAGATCAACAAACCAGCCTCATGCTACATCTAAACCACTGGTTGTGGTTTATTGTGCCCTAACAATGCAAACAGGGACGTGGGTGGCGCTGTGGGTTAAACCACAGAGCCTAGGACTTGCCGATCAGAAGGTCGGTGGTTCAAATCCCCGCAACCGGGTGAGCTCCCGTTGCTCGGTCCCTGCTCCTGCTCACCTAGCAGTTTGAAAGCACGTCAAAGTGCAAGTAGATAAATAGGTACCGCTCTGGCGGGAAGGTAAATGGCGTTTCCATGCGCTGCTCTGGTTCACCAGAAGCGGCTTAGTCATGCTGGCCACATGACCCAGAAGCTGTCTGTGGACAAACGCTGGCTCCCTTGGCCAATAAAGCAAGATGAGCGCCGCATCCCCAGAGTCGGCCACGACTGGACCTGATGGTCAGGGGATCACTTTACCTTTACCTAACAATGCAAACATGATCACTACCCAACTTGAAGAGATGGTTTGCCATCGGTTTGCTGATCGTACTTCTTAGAGAGCAACCAGCCACAATCTCTGGTTCAGACTTTATGCAAAGCCACAGTTTCTTGCTTTGTTTACTTCACTTACACCTGGAGAGCTGCAAAGCAGAAGTGGCCAGGCAGCGAGCATCAAAGCATGTTGCTCTTTCCAGATAAACCACAAAAAGCTTGAAGTCCTGGCTTATTGTTATGTGCGAATGCAGCCACAATCAAAACAGTATCAAATTACTCTCTTTGGAAAGGCACTTCTCTCTATAACTCAAATAGCTATTTTCCTCATTTAATGTATTGCAGAATTAAGAGCAACCCCCCCCCCAAGATATTCCCCATAAATAAGAATTGGAACTATCAAAACTGCCTGCAAGTATTGGTCAGAGATAATGCTACTAAGCAAATAATATACAGTGGTACCTTGGGTTACATACGCTTCAGGTTACAGATGCTTCAGGTTACAGATTCCGCTAACCCAGAAATAGTGCTTCAGGTTAACAACTTTGCTTCAGGATAAGAACAGAAATTGGGCTCCGGCGGCACGGCAGCAGCAGGAGGCCCCATTAGCTAAAGTGGTGCTTCAGGTTAAGAACAGTTTCAGGTTAAGTACGGACCTCCGGAATGAATTAAGTACTTAACCCGAGGTACCACTATATGGAGAAAAATGTCTCTCCCACCAAGAAACCAGTGGACCCAATACATCTGAAGCATATCATCAAAACATTCCTCTACATGTTATACTGTCAAAGGCATTTGCTTTCCTGGAGAATTTTGCATGAAGTTCTCTTTTAAAGAAATACATGTTTACAGCTATAAAGGCACATTTTAATGAAACGTAATTAAAAAGCTGAGCAGGGTTAGTAAAAGATATGCCCTGAGCTTCTAGGCTTTCTAGTCAACCAATGAATTTAAGCCACGAGTGATCTTAATAATTAAAGGTGTCAAGGCACAGCTCTAGGGCAAGAGTAATAAGACACAAGAGTTTGCTGAGGACTGCTTCAATGGAATGTTTGAAGGTTGAGAAGGCTCTGTTTTCTGAGCAAATTCTCACAAAAGGAATACTGAAATTCATGGATCAAGTTCTCCATTTAACATGTCAGTTTTGGATGCCAGTTAAAACTGCCAGATATAGCGCCTCATGAAACAAACAGTGTCTACATGGCTACATTTCCCCACAACCAGCTACCTACTTCTCAGTAATTTCAATTTCATAAGGGTGGAAATGCTTTTTATCTCTGCAGATGGCAGAGCAAACAAAAGTAGTTCTATAGGAGCTACAGGAATGCCTTTACAGACAACCCTTAGACAAGTATTTTCAAGTTCATAAATGCTATTAAGCCAGCAGCACACTGCAGAAGCAATTTACAATGCATTGATAATGATGAAATGTATTTAGAAACCGATATAACATTAAGAACATAAAACAGTATTAAAAATGTCAGAGATCAGAAATGAACAGGAGGCACTGAACACTCGACCGAACGCTTAGCTTCTCTGCACAAGGGATTCAGACAGGTGGGTGGCCACACCCATCTTTCAATCATGTGACACCGTAATTGCGTTGTGTGACTGCCAAGTGGGTGCCCCACCCACCTGCCAAATTGGGCTTGCAACGTCAATCCTGATAAGGACCTAGCCTAGGAAGCCAAAAGGGGTTCTCTATCCCTGTTTCCAGAAGCATAACCTGGAAGTAGACCAAGCACCACAACAGAGGCCTTGGGACAAGAGGGCTGTTCCCTCTAAAATGTTTAGACGTCCTGGTATGAGAATTTACCTGTTGTTCCCTCTCACTGTCAATAATGCCAGGCAGTAGCAGTATAATCTCCATTAACATCCAAGGGCTAAAAAGAATAGAGACACAGCTTCCTAACCCCTTTACCCAGGGACAGTCAATGTGGCGGCCTCCAGACGTTCTGGACAACAACTCCCATCATCCCCAACCATGCGCCATGCTGGCTGCGGCTGATGGGATTTGTATTATAGTACAGCACCTGGAGAGCAATACGTTGGCTACCTGTGCCTTTCCTCTTCTGCAATAACAAAACTGGTAGCCCAACCTGATGCTCCAGAAAAGAGCACCTTTTTCAGTAGCAGCATCCCAGCGCTTGTGAAGGAGGAGGGGGAACTTTGCTGCTTGCCCCAGTTCAGTTGGACTTGGTCACAGTGATAAGACTGTTAGGATATTGATGTTCCGTTCCACCTTAAAACAGATGTGTGGATTGTTGTATGTCACATGTCTGTTTACACTCCAGCACAGCTTGCTGGGAACTTCCATTTGTGTGTATAGCTATTGCTTTTGCTGCTTGCTCTTGGACATGAAAGGGAGAAGACATGTTTTTTCCTTTGTCCTGATATACGCTGAATAAACTGCCTGTAAATATGCTCTCACGGCCGTCTCTTGCCACTTCTGTCTGCGTGGTGTTATTTACTCTGCTGATTAGAGTGTGCTCCAACTTCTGAAGCTGCAGGTTGCTGTTTCATGCTGAGCCAAGGACAGGAGATCACTAGGCTACCGGCTGGTGGGCTGGAGCCAGCTGGGGGTTTGCAAATTGTCCCCGTTCCCTTGGAAGCATCCCAACAAACACAACTACGATCAGGAGCAAAGGAGACACAGAGAGAGACTCAAGAGCAGCAAGGACACTGGGAGGGTAAATAAGTGTAAGGTGGGGCCCACAAGAACAGTATTAAATATCTAGTTGGATCTGAAGAAGACGCTAATTATACAACTAGCAAAACCGTCATCATCATGACAGATGGGTGTCTGTGGAGGAAGGTCTTGCAATGGTGCGAAATTAATAATAATAATAATAATGCGCAAATGGACACACTGTTCCCCTCTGTTAGGGCCTTCTCATTGTGCAGGGCTCTGCTCACTGCAGTTATGTCTCCAACTGAGCACTTTGTCATTTCTCCCTGGGAAGAAAAGTAACCATCCATGGTTTTTTTTAAATGCAAGACAGTATACAAGAGGGTACTTGGGGACACTGTGTGGTAGTGACTAGTAGTCATTGCCCCTGGCGACCCCAGCTATTGAGAAGCCAGTCTGATCCTATCTGCACAGGTGCCACCAGGGTTCTGCTTCTTGGCCACTGTGGAGTGTGACAAGATTGTTGAGAACTTGCATATGATGGGAATGTAAAAAGGTGAAATGCTTCTGGGAGATGATATATAATGAGTTGAAAAAAATGTTGAAATATACATTTATAAAGAAACCAGAAGCATTTCTCTTGGGTATTGTTGGAAACGATATAAATAGAAAGGAATGTAAGCTTTTTCTATATGCAGTAACAGCAGCAAGAATGCTATTGGCCCAAAAATGGAAGCAAGAAGAATTACCAACGATGGAAGAATGAAGGATGAAATTAATGGACTACGCGGAACTTGATAAACTAACGGGAAGGATCCGAAACCAGCGGGACCAGAAGTTTACCAAGGACTGGAGTAAATTTACGGATTATTTGAAAAGTACAGTGGTGCCTCGCAAGACGAAAAGAATCCGTTCCGCGAGTCTCTTCGTCTTGCGGGTTTTTTTGTCTTGCGAAGCAAGCCCATTAGAGGTTTAGCGGCTTAGCGCTACAGTATTAGCGGCTTAGCCGGCTTAAAGATCAGCTGATAAGCGGCTTAACGATCAGCTGATAAGCGGCTTAGCATCAGCTGTTAAGCGGCTTAAAGATCAGCTGATAAGCGGCTTAGCATCAGCTGTTAAGCGGCTTAAAGATCAGCTGATAAGCGGCTTAGCCATCAGCTGATAAGCGGTTTAGCGGCTTGGGAAAAGGGGGGAAGGAAAAACCCGCAGGAACTCGCAAGACATTTTCGTCTTGCGAAGCAAGCACATAGGAAATTCGTTTTGCGAAGCACCTCCAAAACGGAAAACCCTTTCGTCTAGCGGGTTTTCCGTCTTGCGAGGCATTCGTCTTGCGGGGCACCACTGTATTTGTGACGACCAGACAACGTTTGTAGGTTTGCAAGAAGTTCTGTGAGGAAGAATATTAGAAATATTGCCAAAATGGAGAAGGAGACGTGATATGTTAAGAGATGTAAAGGCAATATTAAGTTAGGAAATGCGTAAGAAGTGATTAAGACAGAGGATTATCAGAGGTGCTGATGGAAGTCCAATAAGAATGTATTTGTGATAAATTGTGTGGTATGTTTTATAATTTTGTATGTTAAAAACCAATAAAAATATTTTTTAAAAAAAGAACTTGCATATGAAAGAGCATTTAAATTAAGGGGGTGGGACAAAGACACTAACTGCTCTCATATCCACTGCGGTAGCACTCTTTGAATACCCTTTTCCTCCTCTCTTATCTGCTAACGCGCAAACATTCTGAGCTCGGCAAAGCGAAAGAAAAAGAGGAACGTTTTACGTTGCCAAACTGTGTCCGTCAGCTGAGCACTGCCTAAGAAAGGCCTGTGTTACTGGATATACGGCAGTTATCAAAAGAAAGCGGGTGGGGCTGCTGAAGGCTCAACTTGCGCAAGGTCCCCTCTTACTGCACAAGCCTCTGTGCTGCTCCCGCTGAGCCAAGGGAACAGCAGCAGGCCTGGGAATGCGTTTTCTGCAGAAGCCCAAGTAAAAGAGCAAGGCAGAAGGAAGATCAACAAATGAAGCAAGACAAAGAAGATAAGAAAAATATCCTTGCTACAGGTTAAGTTCTTAAAGCAAAGGATTTAAGACTCTCTAGGGCTGCGATTACCCAATCATGGAGTATGACCTCTGTACTAGAAACTGATAATTTCCACAGTACAGTGGTACCTCGGGTTACATACGCTTCAGGTTACATACGCTTCAGGTTACAGACTCCGCTAACCCAGAAATAGTACCTCGGGTTAAGAACTTTGCTTCAGGATGAGAACAGAAATCTTGCTACGGCGGCGCAGCAACAGCAGGAGGCCCCATTAGCTAAAGTGGTGCTTCAGGTTTAGAACAGTTTCAGGTTAAGAACGGACCTCCGGAATGAATTAAGTACTTAACCCGAGGTACCACTGTATACCTTTGAAAGTAATCACTGCCTTTTATTTTATTTTATTTTTTTAAAAATCAAGCAAATTTCTACACTTCATGGTGGGTACAAAAGAGAAATGAGAGGAGTTTCAGCAAATGGCCAAAAAAAAAACACCAACCCTAGACAAATTTGTATAGGTAAGGCTTTTTACTCCTAATGCCTCCAAGACCACCAGGTACAAGCCATACCTTGGAAGTCGAACGCCTTGCCAGTCAAACATTTTGGTTCCTGAACGTCACAACCCTGGAAGTGAGTGTTCTGGTTTGCAAACGTTCTTTGGAACCCGAACGTCCGTCAGGTCTTCTGCAGCTTCCGATTGGCCGCGCTTTGGTTTCCAAATGTTTTGGAAGTTGAACGGACTTCTGGAATGGATTCCGTTTGACTTCCAAGGTAGCACTGTACTGTTGTTCCTAGTCACCACATTCTAACTTCTAATTACCCATGCAGAATTTAGCTGGATTTGTTATAAGAATTTAAGGTCTCAAATATATAAAATAAATGTTTATAAATGTACCATGCAAACATATACATAAATATATAAACCACATGCCTGAAAACAGTTCAGAAAATCAGTCCTGAAACCATTTTGATTCTCCCAAATTGACTTCAAATGTTTCAAAATGGGAAAACCTCCCCATTGTCTCTTTGCTCACAAATCCTGTCTTAAGGGCGTATCTGTGTATGAATAGGATGAACCTGTGACCTGGATTCAGGATCTGAGTATTTACCATCACAAAAGAGTAGCCAGACTGCCCAAGTAAAAGCAATCAGTGACCATTATAAGATACCCTGGCAAACAGGATTTCGGCTATAGACCGCCTCCTTCTGTGATGTATGTATGATGTTTCAGGGGGGTGGTCTTAGGCTACAGTGTGGGCAATTTCAAAAGTCTATATAAGAGCTTGCACACCAATGTTCTGGGTCCCTCCTCCCTCCTGCGTGTGGTTCTGAGCACCCTGTTGCAACAGTTACGGTAATAAAGATCAGGCTTACTAGCTGCTTTGCTTCTCAATATTCTCTGGTTGGCCTCTGTTATTTTCTCCTACCGATAGGAAACCTACATAAGGACTCTACACAGACTCTTGGGTACTTCATAAGGGAAAAGGAGCGTTTTTTTCTTATAACGATTATCAAATTCAGAATCTTTCTCTCTAAAAGGTCAACAGACTCTAAAGCATCCAGGATTGTATTTTGCCCATAATGTCTCCAATTTGATCCAGTGAACGAAGAATTACTGAGTATACAGAGCTATTTTTAAAGATTTGTTATCCACAAACACTTACGTGAGGTAGGTTCCTCTTGTGTTGGCACTCATCATTAGGTCCACTTTTTTTGTAGGCGTATCCAGTGTGCCAGTTAAAGAGATAGCACTTGCATTGTTCACAAGAACATCTATCCCTGATTGTTTAAAATAAGACATTTATGCATCATAAAAGTCAACCATTTAAAACAACATGATAATTATTACACAAGGATTAGCCACTTTGAAGGTTGGGGTTTTTAAAAAATATTCAAGCAGGTATATAAACTTTTACAAAATAAATAATTATTTAACACAATTGTTTTGTTATTGAATTAAAAAAAGACTTTTAAACTGTGTAATTAGTGATTACTACACTCAACATGGGACGCGGGTGGCGCTGTCGTCTAAACCACAGAGCCTAGGGTTTGCCGATCAGAAGGTCGGCGGTTTGAATCCCCACGACAGAGTGAGTCCCTGTTGTTCGGTCCCGGCTGCTGCCCACCTGGCAGTTCGAAAGCACCTCAAAGTGCAAGTAGATAAATAGGTACCGCTCTGGTGGGAAGGTAAACGGCATTTCTGTGCACTGCTCTGGTTCGCCAGAAGCAGCTTAGTCATGCTGGCCACATGACCCGGAAGCTGTGTGCGGACAAACGCCAGCTCCCTCGGCCTACAGCACAAGATGAGAACCGCAACCCCAGAGTCGTTCGCAACTGGACCTAACGGCCAGGGGTACCTTTACCTTTACACTCAACGTAAGCTGCAGAATTTAATTTACCTCCAAATTTCTGGACAGCCTGATCCACTGCATCGACAATTTGCTCTTCTTCTCTGACATTGACAATGCATGCTAAAGCCTTTCCTCCAGCTGCTTCAACTGCAAAAGAAGGGCATCACTTAAGTCAAAGAATAGCATACACAAACTAAATACAAGAATACTTCTTTTTTAATATTTTGTTGGAAGCAGTCCAGAGTGGCTGGGGAAACCCAGCCAGATGGGCGGGGTATAAATAATAAATTGTTGTTGTTATTGTTGTTGTTACTCTCTTCGTATGAACAGGGCCATGGGTGGGAACTGGCACCGGAAATATCCATGGCAAGGTTAGTTACTGGGTGCAGCTCTCAAAGGTTGCAGCAGATGGTGGCACTCAGATCATAATCTATGCACCTCTCTCTTGCAAGCTTACTTTCTTCTGCAGCAGTGTAGATAGTTCCTGGAAGTGTGCGATGCGGCACTCCAGTCTTGGCAGCTATCACAATATTTGCCCCATCCTTGGCTGCCTTCAAGGCTATCGCTTTTCCAATCCCACGGCTTGCACCCGTGATAAAGAGAGTGCATCCTGCCAACCTCCTAAAAATAAGTGATAAGACAAACAGTTATCTTTTAACTACTGAGAATAGATAAAAGAAAATGCAGGATTAGAATCACCTGAAATTGGCAAAGACCTGAAATTCAGTGGAAAACATGCTCTTAAATTCTATTAACTAGAAACCACAAATAACATGACTATTATAGCTTTATAATTTACCAAGGCTGGATCTAAAGATAAAGGTAAAGGTAAAGGGACCCCTGACCGTTAGGTCCAGTTGTGGACGACTCTGGGGTTGCGGCGCTCATCTCGCTTTACTGGCCAAGGGAACCGGCGTACGGCTTCCAGGTCATGTGGTCAGCATGAATAAGCCGCTTCTGGCGAACCAGAGCAGCGCACAGAAACGCTGTTTACTTTCCTGCCGGAGCGGTACCTATTTATCTACTTGCACTTTGACGTGCTTTCGAACTGCTAGGTTGGCAGGAGCAGGGACCAAGCAACGGGAGCTCACCCCGTCGTGGGGATTCGAACCACCGGCCTTCTGATTGGCAAGCCCTAGGCTCTGTGGCTTAGACCACAGCGCCACCCGCATCCCGGGCTGGATCTACACAGCTATAAAAAAATGCTACAGGGGGGGAAAACATTCTAAAAGCTCACAATGAAAATTATCACTGACTTTGGATTTCAGCTCTACAGAGCCACCTGGTGACACATTGTTATAACGTTATAAATCGACTAGTGTAGCTGAGTCCCCAGTGCATTCTATTTTGCATACATTGACTCAACTTGCATAACTGAGTTTATACAATTTGTTTTAACTGCTACATGGTAAGAAAATGATGACATTGTAGCCCACAAGTCACTTGCAATTTCCAATACTATTCTGATCTTGCCCCTGCTCTGTACTTTTCTCAATGTCACCAAGTGCAGGAATGCCACCAGGTACCTCCTCTTCTGGCAACTGAACTTCATCCCAACTATGGCATCTAAGGCTCACACACGAAGCGATGAAGCTGCCTTAAACCAAGTTAGACCATTGGCTCATCAAGGTCAGTCATGCCCCTTCCTGAAGATGCCAGGGACTGAAACTAGGATCTTCTGCAAGCAAAGCATGAGCTCTACCCAGTGGCGGAGGAAGGGGGGTACGGGGATGTGGTCCGTCCCGGGTGTCATCACTGAGGGGGGAGTGACAAAATGAGGTTTTTTTAAAGTGGGCTCACAGAACTTTTTAGGAGTGACATGGTGCCTTAGGCCTGCAGGTTCCATGCTACCTGAAACAGCAGTGTGGGACTTGCGTCTGCCTACTGCCTCTCCCTCAGCAGCCCTACAGCTGAGCGGGAGGCGTTGGAGAGGCTCCAAGCGTCGCAGAGGCTAGCCCCACCCCGATGGGAGCGGATCGCCCCGCCCCCCGGCTGCAGGACACCCCCCCACACCAGGCACCCGAGCGGCTAGCTATGCAGCTGGCGCCATTGTCGCCTTCAGACAAGTAGATTGCCTATGGTTGCCTGACCCACATGTGAAATGAAGCAAACTTTCTATTATTATTATTATTCACAAATCAGAAAACACATACTTCTTTCAGCTCCTGGAAATAACAACCGAATCATGAATGAAAGATTAAAAGAAAGCTGAAACCCTAAGCATGATCACTTGAAAGCGAACGCCATCAAAATCAGCTGGATTTATTTCAGAGAACATATACTTGGGATGAGAGCATTAACATGAAACATTATCGCTGTCTCAGAAATCTAACGTGTGGCAAAGCTCACACTGCAAAAGTGTATTTTGCCCCTTCTGTGCAATCTTAATATTTTTTTTCTGGTGCCTCTACTTTGACTCATAGTGTGACGGCATTTGTTCATTCCATCCAATGCCTCCCAGACACAATACAAACTGTTTAACACCTCTTTAGAGCAGCAGCTTTGCCAATATATAGAGGCAATGGGGTTATTCAATTAGAGTTCTTACCATGTTGGAGTTATTTAATTTCCATTACCTTGGATGCACAGTAATTCATTTCCCCATTTGTCTGAACTGGGGTCTAATTGATTCCAGTGCCCTTTCAGTGAAACCCTCCCATTAACACACACACACACACAAAATGGGGTGGGAAGTTAAAACACCACAGGACCTCCCACCCTTTTATTACGGGAGAATAAATGTAACACAACATGAGAGAGGGAGGCAATTGACCTTCCAAGTAAGTAATTTTAGTTCTTACGTATTCACTTGACAGAGCAGAACCACACTTCCATTTTTAAAAATTGGCAAATGGTCTAAGAAAATTAGTCTCATCCTTACTGCATGTCTCAAAACTGAAGTAATTTTTTCCCCTCTGTTATTGGTATGTAGCAATCCAGAAGCCCAGCAATGGGAGCAGGCAATTAAAAGATTTAATTTGCCTGTTGAAATTCTACTGGCAGCTCAGTCTGGATTCTGCAACCATACAGATGACTACAAGCTGCAACAGTAGGGCTACTTGTAACAATTTGCAACGTGGACAAAGCAAGCCACAACAGGATTCAACCTGTGTTCTGCACAAAATTCACTCGTAATCTTTATGAGTGCAGATCACTTGAACTGATAACTGCCGCTCTTCTTTGAAAAATAAATCCTATGCAGTGAGCTCTTTCAGTCAATAAGGCCACATACTTCCCAACTGCTCCATCTTCTCACAATTTTTGCAAGCTGAAATCTTTATAGTCCAAGTGAGGGAAAGACTCCTTATGGCAGGGGTAGCCAAGATGGTGCCCTCCAGATATTGTTGGACTACAATACTCATTATCCCTGGCCACTGGGCCATGCTGAGCAGACAAGATGGGATTTGAAGCCCATCAGAATGGGGGGGGGGACCAGAATGGGGAATGCTACCGCTGCATTGTTGAATTTTTCACTTGTACCACACACATTTACACATAGCAGTGGGCAAACAGACTGCAAAGATTAAATTCTGCAAATCTTTTTCTTATGCACTGCATAACTCATCTGTAGGATAACTACTGTGAGATCTGAAATAGCTATGTGTCATGTGCTTAGAGCTCTTAAGTAAAATGAGTGCTACACTGGACTTGTTATACTTCATAAGGAAGCTCACATAGATAAGAGAGAAAAATCAACTCCTTAATCACAGAAGAATAAGAAAAAGAAGAAGTAGTGCATGTTTCTCAATGAGTTTCAAACAAACTCTTCAAGAAGGGGAAATCAAGTACAGTGGTACCTCTACTTACAAATGTGATCCGTTTCGGGGTGCCATTCGCACCCCAAAAAGTCTGTAAGTAGAGTGCTGTTACTGGGCGTGCACAAAGCGCGATAGAGCGCTTCTGCGCATGCGCAAAGCACGATCGCTTCTGCACGTATGGTGAACCCAGAAGTAAACACGTTCACCACATTTGTAACCTGAAAAGCCGCAACATGAAGCAAACGTAACACGAGGTATGATGGTAGTTTCTCATAAAAACTGCTTGGGACAATTTTTCTGCAACAATACACCTAAACAGTGACACTTTACATTGTTGCATGTGGCATGTTACTTAAATGAGATGGTGCAACACAAACTATGCACAATGTTCTAAATACAATTATATCGTAGATTTATATAAATGCATGACAACACTTGCTGTTTTAGCAATGGCCTCTTTCTTAATCACCCCGGTACAAGAACACACCTTTCCACCAGTGGTGTCGACTGTTTGGTTACGCTGCCCACCAAAAACCTCTTTTCCGATTCAGGTTCTGACTGCATCAGTATATATGTGAACAAGTGATTTGTTTATTTATTGCCCCATGCACTCCTTTAGATTTAACCGAACCTGAATGGCTGACTTGCTTTCCAGTTTGGAGAAACCACTTCAAACCTCTCCACACTTCTGGAAAATCCACCACTGCAAATAGTACTACTTTATGTCATCTTACTAACATTTGGCTACCTGCGCAACTATGAAAGGTTTGCATTGCTGTTTGCAGTATGGAAGCAAAGAGGATGGCATGCTGCTGACGAAGGTTAGGCACACATTACAGACAGAGGTCACCTACTTGGCTCTGTGTCCTCTTTCTCTTTCCTCCCCAAGAGGAGCCAGGGTAAGCTGCCGCTGGTTTAGCAGTTGTCAAGTTTCGAGCCTCTGCCCCCCTTCAACCATGTCTTTCAACAACGGCTTGACCTGCAGGTCCAGGAGCACCTGTTTTGCCCCATCTCCGACCTGACCAGCCCAGCTGTGGAAGTGCCGATTCGGGGTTGCCACCTTTGACCTAGCAAAATACTGGGCAGGGCAGGGGAAGTTGGTGGACGGTATTTATTATTATTCCCATTTCTGGGAAAGCTCAGTCGGTACAGCACTAGACTCTTAATCTCAGGGTTATGGGTTTGAGCTCCACATTGGGCAACAGATTCCTGCGTTGCTAAATGACCCTTGTGCTCCCTTTCCAAACAGTTCTATGATTCATGACAATCAATTGCAGCCTAACAGGATGGCCCGCACTAGAATTTGTCAAACACATACATGAATTTGCGCACCTGTTCAATGCATGACCTTTCACACACATGCATTTGGAGAAGATCCCTAACTTTGCAAAGAGAGAAAGAGAGAGAGAGAAAAGACCTGCAATAAAGGACAAAGCTGCTATCAATACAGGACGCAGCATTTTGCATTGAAATACGGGGCAAAACCTGCATTATACAGGACAGGCTGGGGGGGCGACCCTAACTGGGGGCGACCTACTCGCGACAGCGCGTGGCGGGAGGAGAGCGGGAGCCCCTCGCAGCTTACCCTGTGTTGGGCAGCATGGCCGGGTCCGGAGGAGGAGCGGGAGGGGGGGTCCTCTGGGCAGGTGGCAAGTAGCAGAGCCCAGGCCCGGGCGGGACGGCGCCTTGGTGCCTCGCACGGCCGCTCAGGGGGCGCAGCGCCTCGCTCGGAACGCTCAGCGGCGGAGCAAAGGGCGCAACAATCAATCGCGCCAGCTCACTCCGCCCCTCCCTTGTTCCGCGCCCGTTCTAGGACGCCTCGAATCCGCTCTCTATGGTCCCCTCTCTCTTCCGCGAGACGGCCGCCCGACCGGAAGCCCATCCCTTCGCGGCTTCCGGCTCTTGTTCGGCGCTGCCATAGCAACCACGCCACGCTCTTGTTTGCGGCCTGAAGGCTCTGTGTTTGAGAGAGAGAGAGAGAGAGAGAGAGAGAGAGATGAATTTCGCTTTTCCTGACCTAGTGACCCGTTAGAGTCGGCGCTCTTGCGCCCCCCCTACCCTACCCAGGGACGGACTCTCCGCGCGCCCCTCCCGCTTCCCTTTCCCTCCGAAATGGAGGCAGTGATAGATTTTACTTTCTTGGGCCCCATGATCACTGCAAATAGTGACAGCAGCCACGAAATTAAAAGACGCCTGCTTCTTGGGAGAAAGGCGATGGCAAACTTAGACAGTATCTTAAAAAGCAGAGACATCACCTTGCCAACAAAGGTCCGTATAATTAAAGCTATGGTTTTCCCAGTAGTGATGTATGGAAGTGAGAGCTGGACCATCAAGAAGGCTGATCGCCGAAGAATTGATGCTTTTGAGTTACGGTGCTGGAGGAGACTCTTGAGAGTCCCATGGAATGCAAGAAGAACAAACCTCTCCATTCTGAAGGAAATCAGCCCTGAGTGCTCACAGGAAGGACAGATCGTGAAGCTGAGGCTGCAATACTTTGGCCACCTCATGAGAAGAGAAGACTCCCTGGAAAAGACCCTGATGTTGGGAAAGATGGAGGGCACAAGGAGAAGGGGACGGCAGAGGACGAGATGGTTGGACAGTGTTCTCGAAGCTACCAGCATGAGTTTGACCAAACTGTGAGAGGCAGTGGAAGACAGGAGTGCCTGGTGTGCTCTGGTCCATGGGATCACGAAGAGTCGGACACGACTAAATGAATAAACAACAACAACAACAGTGTCAGGTGGAGGAAGGGGGAGTCAGGCAGGTGGGCCTCGGGGCACCGGTTGGCGTCATGTCTATGGATATTTAAGTGCCGGATTTACGTATAAGCTAAACAAGCTATAGATGAGGGCCCCACTTTAAGATAAAAAACAAATAAAATGAAACCTACATACAGCAACAGTGTCTTGTGTTGTGTAGGCTCCTATGATGTAAGTAATGGGCCCCGCCTGCTAGCCTGCTCCCTAAAATATCACTGGTTTGCTCATTTCTATATGTAGGGTACCTACGTTCTGCTATTTATAATCATTAGTAGTTTGCATTATATATTTACACCTATTATTATTTCATGTTATAACAAGTTTTTAGAGTCTTTAGAGTTTCTAAGGAACTTTTGTTATTATGAAGTTTGTTATGAGTAAAAAAATCATTTTAAGTTAGAGCTTAATAATTATTTCACTGTTAATATACTTCTTAATTGTATTTCAGTTCAACAGTTACTTTGATAAAATAAATATTTTGTTATGTGCAAATGGCTTTAGATACCTATTAGGTCCATAAATTACCATATTGCAGATATTCAACACAAAAAACAGCAATAATTTGGCGTTGACAAAGGACAGCTAGACATATAATGGGCCCCATTACCTTCAGTAGCTTAGGGCCTCATCAAACCTAAATCCACCCCTGCTTATTATTATTATTTGTTGAATTTATGTACCGCCCTATACCTGGATGTTTTGGAACAAAATCAAAATATAAAACCACAAAATATATAAGCGAAATAAAAACAACAACCCAATAACTACCCGCCCCCAATTGTCTATTTGGATTTTCTTTTCCCTCTCCACCACACCACATTTTAAAAATCATCACGGGGTCCTGCCATTTGGAGCCTCTCTGCATCCTCAGTATTGCAGCCTGTTACGGTAATTGAATGCTTCTAGCAAACTTCTGGGAATGACTTCTCCCCCACCAAGTTTTGGAAGTTGCTTGGAACTATTGTAGAAGGGTAGAGCTGGGAGGGGTCCGAGGGTCATCTAGTCCAACCCTCCCCCCCCCGGAGTGCAGGAGACATGTTTGCCTGACTGGGGCTCAAACCCACCGCCCTGAAATTTAAGAGTCTCATGCTCTACTGACTGACCTGCCTCTGCCAATAAAGGACACTTGGCCAATAATATAAGCCAAAAAGTGCTGTGCACACTTGCATTGGGGCAGAGGCATAGCTAGGATTTTTGCTGGGGGGGGGTCAGGATGCCCACCTGTCATCATTCTCTGTCTGGCTATATTATTCATCCGTCTGTCTCAGGAGACAGTGGAGGAGTGCGCTTTTGGAGGTGAAATCTAACTTTTGGATGGCTACAGTGCCTGCTGTGACTGTAGAGACCAAGACGGCAGAGATATGTGTTGTTACATAGCTACAAACATAACAAAAGTAGTCATAACCAATAAATGAAAATGAAAAAGTACACAATTTCCACTTATTTCATATGATCCAAAATAAAATACCATAATAATAATAACATTAGCATCAACAGCAGCAATACTCTGACCCCAGCCCAAGCTTCTGTTCAGCAGCCTCAGCTTTTGTAGCTGGAGTCAGTCAGGGCCCCGCTCTCCCAGGCCAGGTGGGGAAAGGCCTTCAAGGCAGGGTGCAAGTCTTCCAGGACTCAGCCAAGATGACACCTTAAATGAAAAACAAGTTACAACATCAGAGAGGGACTTCCCCCCCCCCCAAATAATAGAATTCTACAGTTGAGTGTGACCCCAGGGGTCATCTAGTCAAACCCCCTTTGGCAACTTCTCAGTCTCCCACATGAGAGCAATTTGATACAGTTTTGATGTCCTGGGGAACATGATATGGCAACATCTTCTTGTGTGGGTGGGAGGGATTTTCCATTTCAATAACAATGAATTGCCCCTCAGATGCTTTCCTTGTGTGCTTGAACCATACAGATAAATATTTGGATATATAGATATTTAAATAGACATTAAATATAATACAGCATGAAGTTGCAAGAAGATTGTGTGTGTGTGTGTGTGTGTGTGTGTGTGTAAGGACACTGCTACAGAATCACTGGAAATCTTAGTTTCATCAGATGGCCTGGGTAGAATCAGCCTTTGCAAAAGAAGTTGACAAGAACCGAAAATTGTCTACTATCTTTACCCTTTAGTCAGTGGATTGCCGGACTCTCAAATGCATCCCATCTGTATTCTTAGAAGGAATAAATGTGTTTTCTTCAGTGGACTGCCATGCAAGGTTTTGTTGCCATTATATTGTTGCTATTTTATTTTTGATCTGGCTGTTTTCCTTCACTCAATTAAGAGGCATTAACAGAATCTCTCAATTGCTTCTCCAAATAACGGTTTTCAGGCTGAGCAGTGTGCAATTCAGCAATACATTAGTAAAGAAAGGGTGAGGTGATGAGATTGAAAAGATACATCGCATTAATATCACTCCCACAGACTTTTGGGAAAGCTGCAAATATTCAAAATGTAAGAAACACATAATGAACAATTAGCTGCCACACATCAGTGAGTCAGCTGGGCTTAGAACACTTGGCATCAAGTTTTCTTCTCATGCCACTAATCTGCCAGTCTCAAGGGAACAAAGGCTAGAGCAAAGTACAGCAAAAATCTAGATTTGCACCCACCATCAATGATTGTTTTAGCAATATCTGTTACAGCTAGCATAATGTACAAAAATACACCGCAGCAGACAGCTTGAAAGTCTGTCAAGGCTCTTTCAAATTGTTGAGACTGATACAAGGAAAATATTGCAGCAGAGCCCATTGTTAACGTTACAAGAAAGAAATTTTTTTTTATTGGTGAGAGTGATACAGTATCCTCCCAGCGAAATCTAGGAGAGAAAACATCATTCTGGGGCACAAGCAGTGTTTCAGCTGAAATGTCAAAGGAGAATAGCCAAAAAAGATGTATGTGTTGGGGATTCTTACAGTCTTGTCCCCTGACCCATTTTACACATTCACAGAAAATAGCTCAATACTATTAAAAAGAATCTCACAAATAAGTGTCTTTGAAGCTACCACCTTCCATATGTGTAAAACATTTAATTAATAAAACCAATAAGAGCCTGTGTGGTCCAGTAGATAATTGTATTGAAGAAGGACTAGGCACATTGGATGATCTTATAGAATCATAGAGTTGGAAGGGACCCTGCAATGCAAGAATATGCAGCTGTCCCACACAGGAACTTAACCTGCAACCTTGGTGTTACCAGCACCACACTATAATCAATTGTGCCAATTGATAGCATTCAGTATGACCTACCTCAGATTGCAGTGAGGACAACAGATAATATGCAGTGATGTCCTTATAGACTACTTGCAAGAAGGGTGGGATAGAAACGTAACTAATGTTTCAGGATGTAAAACTCAGTTCTTGTCCAGATGAGTGAATGTGTTTTCCAACCATGTATTCTTCTTGTGTGCAAATCTTGCAGGCCCCCAATAAGCTACCGTATATGGGAGTGGGGACGCCTTTGTACTTGGGTAATATCTTGACTTCAAATAGAATTAAATATATGTGTTCAGACCCTCCAAATATCCCCATTTTCCAGGGATATCCCTGATTTAGAGAAGCCATCCCAGTTTGAGATTTGATCCCAGAAGATAGCTGTCAACTTTTTCCTTTTCTTGTGATAAATCTTATTCAGAATAAGGGAATTTCCCTTAAAAAAAAAGGGAAACATTGACAACTATATCCCAGAATGTCCCACTTTTCTTTAGGGTGTCCCTATTTTCATTAGAGAAATGTTGGAGGGTATGGAGTTATGTGACCCATGAGCCACCTGAAGGCAATTCCATAGAGGGAAGGTTTTTTTGATGTTTAATGTTTTATTATGTGTTTATAGTGATACCTGTGGTTACAGACGCTTCAGGTTATGGACTCCCCTAACCCAGATATAGAACCTCGGGTTAAGAACTTTGCTTCAGGATGAGAACAGAAATCGTGCGGCAGCGGCACGGTGGCAGCAGGAGGCCCCATTAGCTAAAGTGATACCTCAGGTTAAGAACAGTTTCAGGTTAAGAACAGACCTCCAGAACAAATTAAGTTCTTAACCCAAGGTACCACTGT